CCCTATCTCTCTCCATGTTCCCCCTCTTTCTCCATGTTCCCCCTCTCTCTCCATCTCTCCATGTTCCCCCTCTCTCCCTCCATGTTCCCCCCTCTCTCTCTCTCCATGTTCCCCCCTCTCTCTCTCTCCCCATGTTAATGTAATTGGCTGATTAGTGATATTATTATCGCTCTGGATCCAGGAATATCCCAATAAACACAATGAACCCCGGACTCACCCTCCGCTCCCAGCAGCCAGCTCTGCACTGTGTGCACTGATCAAGCGGAAGTGACGTCAGGCATTGCGGCGCCATGATGGATGAGGGCAAGCAGGATCCTGTTTCATCCCGTGGAGTATTATGGGTAATGGACACTGACATTAAGGATTGGAATTCTCATACAGCACAATGTGCCCGAACTGACTGAAATCTAATGGCTGCCTGTTACTTATACTGTCAGGGGAAAAACTATTTAATTAACCCTTAAGGGAAAAAAGGCTTTGATGCTGAATGTGCTGTTACAGCCAACATTTTACCTGGACTGTACCTTCAATATATAACAGGGACTGGCTGGGGATAGTTAGTAGGAAACAGAGAGAGAGATGCAATGGGTTCCTAGAACCAAGGGGATTCAATATACAATGTTTCTTTACATTTAATTAAGTACTCCATTTTAATCTAGTTTTTTATTTTATATATATATTTTTTATAATATTGACTGGACCATGGTGTTTGTATGGTGTATATGACTTTATAATCCTTCTAGTAGACTTCCATTCATTTTTAATATAGTTTTTGGTATATCATTTTAAAAGACATTGTCCCTTTAAGGTTGATTTTTATTTTATACTCCTAATGTGACGGCATTTTATTAAAATATGATTTTAATTTTAAGCATTATGTTCTCAATAAATATGATCTACTGTTTCTTTAAATGTCAATTCTTACATATTTATGTATTAAGGTATTTTATTATGGCATTTTTTTTTAACTATACGTTTTTAAGCTATATATTTTTTGAATAAAGTAGGCATTGTTATGTTTTTCACTTTATCTATGTTCAAAATTGACTTTTTTAGAATTCTTTATTTTTGTTGTGCATATAGGTACAGCAATGCTTGAATTGCCACAACAGCATTCTCAAGCACGTTTTGTGTAAAAACATAGTATAACATGAATATGGCACGAGTACAATTTGCACATTTTAAATAATTAGTGGTTCAACATCATAACGGTATACTGTGACAACAGCATTCACAAGTGGCTCATTCAACAAGGCATAAATTGTTATGAACATTGGGTGCTGTTACGTTTCTACATTTAGATTATGCTGCACAGTTTTATATTCAGGTGAAAAACAGGATATGCTCATGTGTCTAGGTGCATGGCTGCAGTTAGTTACATTGGGTTCATTATAAGCAATTACATCAATATATGTGTTATAGTCGCTTGTCAGGAACGGGTGAGGTACAGGGTTAGTTAAAG